AATCATAAAAAAAAAAGAGGTGAAATTGTACCAGGATCAAGTGGTTAAATTGAGAAACAAAAAACACCTCCTGATTATGCAATTGAAAGCTGCAGGACAACAGCAACTTTCAGGTGCACCATCAAGAGATGCTTTTATTTTATTAACCTTGATTCCAAGTGATGTTTCCACCATAAATAGTATGATTTTTCCACCAGTTGTGTCTACTGAAGGATTGACCCAACATGCATTATGTGCAGAAATACATCACCAAGAATCCCTCCTATGAAGACCGGTGGAACAAAGAGAAAGCTGAAGGCCTCTCAGCAGGCCGTGGCAGTGAGAGCAAGAGGAAGTTGGAAAAATCCCACTCCCTCAAGTCTCTCACAGGAGAGGAGCAGAGCAAAGAAGGCCAGTCTGAGACCCACTCTGAACCCAAGAAGCAAAAGAAATCTGGGAAAGGTCAGAAACATCATTCAAAGCAGAAGATCAAGCTAAATCTGAAGAAAGAGCCTCAGCAGAAGAACCAGGAGATTAAGCGGATGCCTGTTGTCATCATCGGCAAAGCTCCCAACTTCCGTAAGCCTGCCAAGAGTCCTCCCTCTCCTAAAGATGAACAGGTGTATGGTCCAGCTCTCCCCCCTGCCACCTTGCCCCCTCCACCTCCCCTGCCTGTACCACAGCTGCCGCCGCCTCCCATCCCACCTTTCCTTCCCAACTTCTTTGTGGCCCCGCCTCCTCCCCCTCCTCCCATCCTGTCCCCAGAACGGCCCCCTGGTATGGATGAAGGCTTCCATGAAATTGGCCCAGAACATCAACCCTTCCAGCAGCCTGAGCCAGATATTGAATATGTAGACCAAGAGCTGTTGGATCAGCTCAATGCCAAGAAAGCTGAGATCCTGGAACGGCTCAGACAAGAGCCGTCTGATGAAGGAGTTTCAAAGAGCCCTAATGCCAAGCCATCAGAAATTAACCAAGTTAGTCCAGCCCCGAACAAGTCCCCTGATTCCAATGAAGTTCTTCCAACGGCAGGCAAGGCAGTTGCCATCCCAGGCATTGACCAGCCATCCAGGAAGCTAGCTCCTGAGATTGCTGGCCAGCATCCAGTGGTCATTCCAGGGTTTGGAGACTTGCAGCCCGAGACTCCCTCCTTTCATCAGGATACTATGAGCATCCCAGGCATTGAGGATCCTACAGCCATTGGCCCACCACTCCAAGAACCTGCCTCAGCTCTGCATCCACCGCAGCACTTTGTGAATCCATCCATTCAACAACAGAATATTCCGGGGATCGGAGACCTGTCATCTCAACCAGACATCATCCCAGGTATCAGGGATGAGGATATCTCTGTCGATGCCAACCTGGCCAAAGCCATCAACTCTGTTCTTGAGGACTCCGACGACTCCACCATCGACACAATCTATGACCTCTCAGCTTTACAAGCCTTGGACCCTGCTTCCTAATATATCCCACAAAACACATATGTAAATAACTTACCTATTTTGTTGTTATATTGTTAGTAGTTTTATCATTTGGTGGGGATCCTCCCCATTTCTATCTCTTTTTTTTTTTTACATCTTTAAAACATCCATCTTCATTTCATATTCATATTTGAAGTTTAGAATTTGTTTTGTTAATTTTTTTTTTCGTTTGAAAAGTACAATAAAACTTGTAAGATTTTATAGAAATAAAAGTTTAGTTTTAGTTTTGTTTTTCCAATTTCAAACTTTGAATTTTTTTTTTTCTGTAGTTATTTTTCATTCTCTTATTATATCAGTTCCCTCATCTTGTCATGTAACCATAATTTGCATCACCTATTGTGCATACCCCCCCTCCATCAACTGTATATAATATATACATATATGATTCTTTGTATTATATAATGTATGTACTCTGTGCTTTTAAAAAAATATTAAGATTGGAGTTATTCTTTTTTTTAAATCCTAGAGGTATAAATATTAGGTTTTTTTTTGTTTATCTTTATAATAATAAAGAATTTAAATTGCTCCTTTTTTTCACATACATTCATAGCATTGTTATTATTACATACAATCTAAACAACAAAAAAGATCTCACACTAGTTAATAAAAGAGTATTATCTGATGATGATTTTGTAAAGAATTCTGTGAAAAAAAAAAAACAATTTTTTTTATTGTTGTTAAAACTTTTTTTTTTATCATCATTTTCTCCAATATAATTTTTTTTTTCTTTGTGTTTTAAGATATTCTTAGTAAAAAAATCCTATTTATTATAATTTTTATAAATGATAGAATATAAAATCTTTATTAGAATTTCAAATATAGTTTAATATATTAAAATGCATTTTCTTTTCCCTTCTTTGATAGAAGATTAATTTAGATAGATAAATAATTTAAAAATGAATTTTTTAAAGCTATTTTTATAGCTCATTGAATATAAGTATTGAAAAAAGTGTCGTCTTATTTATTAATCTATTTATATCTTGTGTATAATAAAAAAATAATATATATACTTTTCTGTAAAACCTTTTTTTTTAAAGATCAAAATTATAGAAATCATGATATTAATGGCTTTATTTATTATGTTTCTCTATGTCATTATGATATTCAACAATGGATAGTTCTTTCTCAATATTATTATAATTTTTTTTTTATAGAAAAATATTTATTTTGCTGCTTATCCACTTTGAAATATATTTTATTCAACTTTTCTAAATTGTAATGAGTTTTTTTTTTATTTACATTCAGAAATTAAATATTTATTTTACTCTAATTTATGTTTTAATCTTATATCCCATGCAATTTTTTTTTTTTTTCAAGATTCATTCAGCACTTTTGTCTGAAGTAACAATGCTGTTACTGAAACGTCACACACTATTTATTTATTTGGTCTTATTACCCTGAATTTGATTTTATTACCGTGTTTTTCTAAATATAATTTTATTGTTTAATATCTCTGAGAGTTAAAGAAATATTACACATTGATTGGGTTAATGAATTTAAGGCTTTAAAGTATCATGACAATCTCAAGTCCATCAAAGAGCTAGAAAATATATAAAAATAAAACTTCCAAAAATTATTTGATGGTAACAACTTTTAAGGAAGTTGATAAAACACAATTTGGATTATAGATTAGAATTACAAGGTAATATAAGACCAAATAAATAAATAGTGTGTGATGTAACCATCATTGTCTGATGATGGTAACAATGCTGTTACTGAAATGTCGCACACTATTTATTATATTATTGGGCTTGGTCTTGTTTCCATATGTAAACTTTTAAGAACATTGATAAAGCACAATTTGGATTATAGATACAAGAAAATAAGACCTAATCCAAATAATTTAATAGTGTGTGACATTTCGGCAACAGCATTGTTACCATTATCAGACAAGAGACAAAACAAAAACACTTATTCTTTTGTCTGATGATGGTAACAATGTTGTTGCCGAAACATCAAACACTATTAAATTATTTGGATTAGGTCTTATTTTCTTGTATCTATAATCCAAATTGTACTTTATCAAGTCTATTTAGAATTTTTTTTTTTTCTACTTCAAACTATATTTTAAGTATTTAATTGACTACTCTCTGTAAAATATTTTATTTTCCAAATTTATTATAATTAGCAAGCTTTTGAGTTTAAGAACTCTTCACTGGGCATTTCATCAAAATAAAAATACCTGTTGAAAAGTTCGTAAACTATAAATCTTGCTAATTATAATAAATTTGGAGAAGAAACTTTTTACAGAGAGTAGTCGTTTAAATATTTTAAATAATGTTCTGCAATTTCCAACGATTAAAAAAAAATTATCCCTAGTACATGTGATTAAGGCTATGATAATCATGGTGGGTAGAAGTTGGCGGCTGCTTTTACTGTAAGTGCACCACATATCTACACACATGAAAAGCAGTTAAACTTTTGCATTTACAAATATGCCAGAGCCCTGTTTAGTTTTTATACAGTCAAACCTGTCTATAGCACCGTATTTTGGTGAGTCCCAAGAGGGGGCTTATAGACAGGTTTAACTGTACCATATTTCAAAAATTTTGAAAAGTAATAAAAAAAAAAAGAATGTATATTTGCATGTACACTACTATTAAAAAAAAACAAATATATTTTATCTTTTTTATTATATTTCATTTTGGTATAAAAAAAAACAAACAAACAAACAAAAAATAGCTATACATATTTTCTATATATTTATACATTTTATTTTTTTAATTATAAAGAAGAGAAAAAAAGAAGTATTAGAAATGACACAAAAAATGACAAGAGTATAAATACCTTAAGTACAGAGCAAAAAATGAAATAAAATTGTGCTACTTTAAAAATAGAACTCAGCAATAAACCCAAATTATTTTCTTTGGTATGTTAAAAAAACAAACTATATACTTCATATTAGTAAATAAAGTTAGATAACAAAATTTGAAACTATTTTAAAGGGGTAAGATTCTTTTTGAAAATAAACAATTTCTACTGTCCTTACTGCAATGGAAAAATTAATGGGAGGGCTTGGCTCATCAGTGGTGAACCCTCTCAGCGGTTTCGCCAGTTTAATCTACCATACCGCTGTTATATTGCATTTTTGGAACTTCCTTTTATAGTGATACTGTTGCTAGACTCTTGGAATGGGTATTTTAGAAGAACTATGGGCATAGGCTTTGAGGACAGTAGAATTACATACAATTATAAATATATAAAGTTATTTAAAGGAGATAAAAAAAAAGTTTTATTGCTATATGTATATATATATGGAATATTCTAAATTCTTCCAAATAAAATTTAAAAAGTAGGGATGGGAATGGGTATTTTAAAACTAAAATTTTGAAGTTACACAAAAAGAGATGAATTTTTTTTTGTATTCACAGATTTTTTCTAATATTTTTCTGAAATATTATTTTTGACCATATGAAAGGTAGACGATGGTGTTATTACATATAATCTTGTTTCCAAAAAAAAAAGACATTAAAAAGAAAAACCGAATATTAACTAAATAAAATTGATAATATTCAACAACACTTGAAATAATATTAATTATTCCTCGAGTCGGATTTGAACCAACGACCTAAGGATCACTTAAACATCTACAGTCAGCCACTTTGCCAACTGAGCTATCGAGGGATTTAATTATTGAAATATATAAAAAACAAAAACAAATATAGCCGGATTATATTGTATTATAGTAGAAACTCTATATAAAGGGCAACTTGTGTTACAAAGTTTTCTTTAAATAGAGGTATATATATAGTGTTAATTCTGGTGATGAAAACAATCCTTTGAATAGATGAATCCATTCGTGGAGGTTCTACTGTAATACTTTTATTTATAGATAATAATAACTTATTTTTAAAATAGTATAAAAATTGTACTGGGATCAGGTAGATAAATTAAGAAAAGACATCTGATCGGGAAACTAAAAATTGCTGATGGCTTGCACCATCTATCAGAATGCAAACCATCAGCAACTTTGAGTTGCAGGATCATGAGATGCCTTTTTCTTAATTTATTTAAAAGCTGTAGGTTGTGTCATTTAGTAACATAATTTTCAATAGAAAGGAGTTGTGACATTGTGAGATGAAAAAATGTATTTCTTTTATCTTCTGGTTCTCTATCCTCCAAGTTGAAGACATTTCAACAATTTTTTTTTTAAGTAGAAAAAATGATTAAAATACAATTTTAATTATAAAAAAAAAAAATCTATGAATAACTATTGACAGTTTATTTGGATTTGACCGTGAAAACCCATACACATATTATTAATGTCGCTCAAAATGAGGAATATATTGTTCTATAAAGATTATTCTGAGAAATATCACTTTAAAAAAACATGCATTATATGCAAATAAAATGGGCTTCTTGTGACAAGCCTTTTGTGGATATAAGGATTTAAAAAATGAAGTTTTACAAAAAATTAATACTTTTCAGTTCAGAGTTTTCTATGAAATCAATTCATTCCAATAAAAAGATTCTTTCATGGCACATTCTTCTAAAAAAATATCCTCAAGTTGAAAATTTGCATATATCAATTATTTGTTGTTTAACTTTTGAATTAAAATTTTTAGAATATCTCCTATATATTTTTATCAAATTCTAAAATTTCTTGTCTAAGCTGTGAATAATTGATAAATTTAAATTTTATCATAGAGCTTTTTTGTTAAAAAAAATACTGGGATTGTGTCTAAAAGAAAACCACACAAAAAAATATTAGTCTGAAGGTAGAAAAAAAAATCTTTTCACTCCCCCAACAAAAAAGAAGAAAGAAATTTTCCCTGAGAGTATATACAGTAAAACCACCTAAATTAAGTTTATACAAAAGGACTTACCTAGATCTATAAAAAATAAAACAATTTTTTTCTAAAAATATTTCGAGAGATTGTTCCCTCTTTATTAATTTATTGCACATTAAACTTAATTTATAATAAATTGATAAAGAGGGAGCAAATCTCTCGAAATATTTTGAGAATTTTTTTTTTTTAACAGATCCAGGTACGCCTTTTTATATAAACTTAATTGATAGATCGGCTTTTGACTCAAACCCCTAAATTAAGTTATTTTTTCATGGAAACGGATCTTAATATAATTATATGACCTTAATATAGAGGTAATATAGAAGGGAGAAACACAGGTCAGAGATGGAAGCATCTTTATATAAGACAAGCTTTTTGGGCAAAATCTACTGGTACATAATGATATGAGTGACAATGGTTATATATATATATGTTATATAAAAAAATTATTTCATTTTGGAATTAAAATTTATAGAAAAAAAATTCTCTGTTGGATCGACCGCCAGAAGTCACGCTTCCCCTATAAAAACTCATTGTTGTTGTTTCCAGATGGCCGGCTAAAACATTTGTAATTATGTAAATAATATTTTGTTTTCCTTGTTCTACTCGCCTTAAGACAGGCAGTACTTTTATCAAAATATGTTTTTTATATATCCCATAAGCTCAATTAAAGCAATTACTGATCAAAACTATTTTTATATTTTCAATATTTTCCGCGACTGCATACCAAAAACAGCAGAAATCATTTTTCTTAATATATATATAGATATATGAACCATTGCCACTCGTGTACCCATTAAAGAGCTACTTGCCCGAAAGCTTGTAGGATTATTATTTTTTTATATAAAGAAGTTTGTCTTCCCAACCTGTTTCTACTTCAATAGCGAAAAAGTAAGATTATCGTTGTCTTAAAAGAGGTAATACAGTTAAGATTTTATATATATATATATGTTAGTGAAAAAACAATAGAAAAAATAAAAGATAAGTGGGTCAGGTGTTGATATTAAAAATAAAGAAGGCATCTCCTGACCACGAGCACATGTGCTTTTTAGATGGCAAAGCGCCATCTAGTGGAGCAAAAAAAAAAAAAAAAACGTTTATTTAGCTTGCTCCGTGATATTTGCCCAACCCAATTTCTTGATTCGTGGATGGCTTTTCTTGATTTATCAAGAAATTGGGTTGGCCAAATATCATGGAGCAAGCTAAATAAACGTTTAGTTTATTTTTGCTCCACTAGATGGTGCTCTGCCATCTAAAAAGCACATGTGCTCGTGGTCAGGAGATGCCTTCTTTATTTTTAATATATATCAGTGTAAGTGACCTTAATAAGAAGTTTAGATACGATAAAGCACAATTTGGATTATAGATTATAATAAAAGAAAATAAGACCTAATCCAAATAATTTATTAGTGTGGAATTCATTTTCTTTAGCTCATAGGAAGAATAAAACTTCTTTTTGTCTGATGATGGTGACAATGTTGTTGCGAAAACGTCACACACTAATAAATTATTTGGATTAGGTCTTATTTTCTTTTATTATGTTTAGATACCTTAATAAGTGAAGAAAACTTAACAAAGTGGTCATGGTTTAATTCTTTTATGAGGTATAATAACTTTAATATAAAAGGTCAAGACCTTAATATTGGGGTAACCTTAATAAATAAAAAGAATGGATCAATGTAAGACACTTTATAATAGTTAAAGAACCTTATTAAAGAAATCAAATGCTTAAGACCTTAATAAAGATTGTTTTGGTGAAAAAATATATAATTTACCTTAAAAAGGAGAGAAAAAAATCAAGAACCATATAACTATATCAGACGAGAATTTTGGTTTATATAATTTTTTTTTTTAAAACATGAGATGTAATTTGGATCTATACAAAACTTTTTATTGCAATATTTTGACGAGTGGTACGCCTGCCTTTTGCAAGGCAAAAATTCAATTATCTTGTCTTATCACTCATTGAAATGCCATTATAAATAATTTTCCAAATATAGATTTTGTAAAAAAAAAGCACCTCAGGTATTAAATATATATTTCTCTAGGGATTCGCAATAGTTTCAGAAACAAGAATTTTATATATATATATATTTATTCTTATTTAGGAATAGTTGCCTTAACTGTAAAAAAAAAAGGAGGGGAGGGGGAATGGAAAGAAAAAATAAATATATTGAATCACCAAAAAGGGAATTTTTCATCATAATTTTCAAAATAGAGTGCAACTTTAAACGAAAAAAAAAAAAAAATTGAAGACCTGAAAATCCAACAAGAGTAAAGAAAAGAGGGTTATAATAGAGAATATAGCAATATGATTTGGGCGCTCTGTATTATAATTTTTTTTGCCAAATAAGTCTAAATAATTTTTGTAGATGATATATAATAATATTTATATAAACAGAATAGTCATATATATTTTTTTCAATTTTTATCTTATTTTTTCATATATATATATATGTGGTAATATAGATATGAACAAAAATGTTGTTCTCGGCTCGGAAGACCTGATTTCCTGAGGCCTCCAATGGAAAGAGAAATTGCACTAAGAGAAAAATTTGCATATAGGTTAATTTTACACTGTACAACATTTTTTTTGCTTCTTTTCTTTTGCTATGGGGTATAAAGGAATAAGTAAAAACCAGATTAAAAAAGTAAAAGAACTACACGGCGAAGCGTGTCCTAAACAATCAGGTATTTAACTGAAAAACTTTAATCTCAGGTATATGTATATATACTTGTACATATATGCATAGATATATTAGATGATATTTTTTATAAAACTCACATAAAGTAATTGCCTTTGAATCACAAAGAAGGTTTTATAAATAAAAAAAATATACCTCAAATTGTGAGAGTATTGGATATGAAGAAGAGAAAGATAGGATTATATAAATATCATTTAGCAGTAATTACATTTCAATAAAAAGATGTTTTAAAAGAAATATTTAAACCAAATATACATGATCTTTTTTTTTTAAACATAGCGGATTTAAGAGACTAGCTTTTTGTTTGTTTCTCTGTAAAAAAAAATCAAATAAAGAAACTACATACTAGATTTTACCACACACAAATGATGATCTAAAGAAGCAAAGGTCACCTCTCCTGTCAAAATAGACGTCAAAACTAGAAGCCATCTATTGACCGTCACCCCAAACTAGCGGCCCCGGGTCGGTGACAAAGCCAGTTCAGTTTGCCAAAGCTGGTGTTGTGGCTTTGTCACCGACCCGAGGCCGCTAGTTTGCGGTGATGGTCAATAGATAGCATCTAGTTTTGACGTCTATTTTGATGGGAGAGGCGATCTTTGCTTCTTTAGATCAATATCCTCCCGGAAAAATTTCCATCTACAAATGATAATATAGATAATAAATAAAAGTATCATAAGTATTTTATTTTACACACATAAAATAAACTTTCTACTGTTCCTTACTGCGATGAAAAATAATAAGAGGGCTTGGCTCATCGGTGTTTTTATTATCCCTTGTGTCCACAAGATAATAAGACCAAATCCAAATAAATAGTATGTGACGTTTCGGTAACAGTGTTGTTACCATCTTCAGACAAAAGTACTGAATGAGAAATTTTACCACAGCATGGTTTAAATAGTTATTTTAATCAAGTGTGTGAACAAGATAACAGATAAGAAGAAGATATTTATCTGAGAAACAGATATTTATAGATATGCTTTTAATTATATTTGAAAAAAAAAAAATCTAACAATAATATTCTGTATTTCTCAGATAAATATCTTCTTCTTATCTGTTATCTTGTTTACACACTTGATAACAGGAACTATTTAAAAACATGCTGTGGTAAAATTTCTCATTCAGTACTTTTG